GGTGGGGAGAACCCTCATTTTGTACTCCCATTGTGTCATATTAAAGGTCAGACCCTCTCCGAGTCGTGTCTCGTGGGTGTGGTCCCCTCTGGGTGGTCCCTGCTCCACGGGGGTCTCAGGGGGCTTCAGTCCCCGTGGGGTGACCCCTCTCCAAGGGGGGGTCTTGGGGCATTTCAGTCTCACTGACCCCCCCCCCGGGCCGTTTGCAGCGAGGCCTCTCCAGCTCTCAATGTTTCAGCCTCGGTGCCCTCCATGTCAGGACCGTCCCACCTGCCCCCTGGACCCTCCTGGAACTCGGCAGGGCCGGGGGTGGCAACTTGGGCCCAGAGTTGGTCCAAACAGACTCTGATTAAAGTCCGAGATTCACCTTTTCGTGTCCCATCCTTAGACAGGAACCCCAGACAGTGCCCAGGAGGGATCTCCTTGCCCTGCACTGAGGGAAGGGACTCAGCTGAGTCAGCAGAGGTGTCTCCTTGTGGCTCTGCAGTCCTGGGGCTAAAAGGACACTCAGCTCCCTCCACAACCCCCATGGTGTGGGATTCCCGTTGCCCCAGTTCAGGTGGGCACAAAACAGGAATCTGCAGGTGAGCTCCTCTCTCAGCTCCCCTGGCAATGAACAAAGACAAAAGTTCACAGCACTCGGTTACCCAAGTGCTGGACACAAACACTTGGTTATTTCTGAGGTGCCAGAGGTGACCAAGGTTCCTGCTGGGAACTGCAGGCTCCAGGGAAGCAATCCATGGAGACAGGGAAGCATCTGCAGGCATCTTCTTGGAGGCTGCTGGGACGTCGCTTTGCCCAGTTTAAATGGCAGAAGGTGCCCACGTGTAGGACAGGGGAACCTAAAGCTGTTCCTCGTGTCTGTGGCAGCCCATAGAGGTGTCCCCCACCGAACCCAAACCACAGCACTGTGCCAGCTACCAGCAAGAAAATTCCCTGTCTCTCAGCCAAGGCCAGGACAGTGTCCACCCCTTATCCCACACCATTTACATCATGCCAGTTTTATTGGTAAATCACACTCGGGATGTCAGTCCCTGACCCGCT